TTTATGATCCGATCTATGCAACCATAAACAATAATTAAAAAAGCTGAAGGTACTAAGGCTTAACAATGACATCGGGACGTCAGTCACCTCAGTCTCCTGTGACCATGGGTGGTGGAAAGCACCCGAAACGTCGGGAATTAAAAATTAAAATAATTAAAATAAAAATTAAACGCGATAAAATCCGTAAAAGTAGTTTTAATCAATGTGTAGTGTTCGCGTAAATATAAGAAATCATTAAAAAAGAGAATTTTAATTCTCTTTTTTATTTATAATTCCACCTAAATAAAGACCAAAATACTAAAAATTAAAATGTTGAGAAAACGTTAGTAACATCATTGTCGCCTCTAACAGAAACGATATGAATCGTATCAAGTTTACAGACAGGACAAGCAGATTTACCTAAATCGTTTCTGACAAATATTTCGGTACAAAACGATGAAAAATGATTATCATACCTAATTCTTTTTATTAATAATAAGCCATAATGATTTCTTAAATTTACGCGAACACTACACATTGAATAAAACTAAATTTACGGATTTTATCGCGTTTATTTCACTACTTTTACTTATTTTTAATTCCCGACGTTTCGGGTGCTTTACAGCAACCATGGTCACGGTGGGGACTGAGATGTTTGACGTCCCAATGTCATAGTTAGTCCGGCTACCTTCAGTTTTTGAATATTATCAATAATAATCGGACCAAAAATTAATATTCAAAAACTGAAGGTAGCCGGACTAACTATGACATTGGGACGTCAAACATCTCAGTCCCCCCCGTGACCATGGTTGCTGTAAAGCACCCGAAACGTCGGGAATTAAAAATAAGTAAAAGTAGTGAAATAAATGCGATAAAATCCGTAAATTTAGTTTTATTCAATAATAAGCCAGTTTGCAGAAAGGGACCAACCTCAGTGTAGGTACCAGTTGAAAGGCCAAAGATTGCTATCAAGCGCGACGCAGCCTTGAAAACAACAAAACTGTGCTAAATTGCATCGATACTTATTTAAGTAGGTATTTTATGCATTACGTTACGACACACGTGTTCGATATGTTTACGTCCAGTTGAAAAAATGCGAACATTGGAAATGATTGTAAAATTTTGCGACACAAAACTAGGTAAATAACAGGTGTATAATACGAAGCTGTTTCGTTATTATTTTTTTTAATTATTGTGGTTACGCTTAGGTTAGGTTAGCCACCAAAACCATATTTTGTTGAGGTAGTTTAACGTTTTTATTATCATCATCATCATTACAAGTCCTTTGCTAAGTTTAAGTCTTCTCCATAGACTGGGTTAAAATAAGGTAGTAGAAATTTTATGAGGTACACAGGTGGTGCCATATCAGATTATATAGCTTTTGAGATAATGAATTCGAAAGCCTTTTTAAAATCATGATAAGAATCAGGCGTTACAAAAATCGAATCTAATATTTGAAATGGATTAGCTAAGTTCCCTGTGAAAAATAAAACTTATGTGTCTTAGGTAGACTCTTTTTACTGGAAACGAGACATCAATCTCAGTCCTCAGGGGTGACGGTGACAAAGCATCGGCATTTTGATTCTTAATTGAGGATAAATGTAGATGTCTATGGGCCACAGCATTTACTTACCATCACATGGTCTGTGTGCTCGTTACCCTTATTCTATATAAAAAAAAAAACTATATTGCACAATGCAACTCGCGCCCTCCATCAAATGCGTGCATTCTCCGTCAACACTAGTCTCAACAACATTACACAGGAAAGACACACCACAGTCGATAATGCGAGATGTGCTTCACCTCTACATGAGGCATCATCAGAAGCAAAATAAACTGTGGGTTGCTGACCGCTAAGTGAAAATATTATGTCTTAGTTAAATTTTCAATTTTAAATTTTGTAATTTGGTTACACTTTTAATGGTATTTTAACAGTTGAGGAGGACTTGGAAAAGGGCATAATATGCTTTTTCTGATCACAACTCAGTCATTACCTAATCGTACGAGTACGTGACACGTTTTTTTAAAATCAGAATATGTATCTTTACAGTCATATATAAAAATTACGTGTCAGATTTTTTGTTCGCGATGAACTCTTAAACCAATAAACTGATTTTAATGAAATTATGTAAATGTGTATTGCTTACTTCAAATTCAGAGATAGGATAGTTTTTATACCGATAAGTGACACTTAATATTTTATATAGGGAATTTAAGGATTTTTATCGAATACAGGGTTGTCGGAACAGGCAGAATGACGCGACATCTGCCGGACCAACTAGTTATATCATCTTCATTATTACAGCCCTTTACAAATCCACTGCTGAACATAGGCCTCCCCCAAGTAATGCCACAAAGCACGGTCCTGAGCTACCTGCAATCCATCGACTTCCGGCGTGTCTTACCAGGTCGTCAATCCATCTAGTGTGGGGTCGCCCTACACTACGCATACCTGTACGAGGCTGCCACTCGAAAACCTTTTCCCCATCGGTTATAGGTTCTTCGAGCTACATTGCTTGACCCATTACCACTTCAGCTTACTAATCCGTTGAGCTATGTCGGCCACTCTGGTTTTACTGCGGATATCCTCATTTCTGAGTTTATTACGTAGAGAAACCCTGAGCATAGCCCTTCCCATCCAGTATCCTCATAAGGCGAGCAGTGAAGGACCACGTCTCAGTTCCATAGGTCATCACTAACAACACGCACTGGTTATACAATCTAGTTTTTAGTTTAGTATACCTGACGAGAAAATGTATCGTAATTTCCCGAACGATGCTCAGCCGAGTTAAATCCGTCGATTGACGTCTCGGTCGAAGTTGGACTTACCTAGTCGGACAATTTGTCCCAGGTAAACGTACTCATCAACAACTTCGAGCATATTGCTCCCAACAACTACCGGCATAGGTGTGACATGGACATTAAACATGATCTTAGTTTTGTCCATGTTCATCTTAATACCGTATCCATTGGAGATATGTATTGAGATAGTGCTAAGGTCCTCCAGCGATTCTGCCATAAGGACTATACCGTCGGCAAAACGAAGGTGAGTGATGTACTCGCCATTGATATTAATACCGTATCCTTTCCAGTCCAGTCCAATTAGCTTGAAAACGTCTTCCAATGCAGCGGTGAAGAGTTTCAGGAATATAACGTCACCCTGTCGTACACCTCTGCAGTTGGATAGGTTTCGAACTATGGTTCTGTACTCGGATAGTCATCATACCCCTACTGTACAAACACTTCAGCACTTCGATATACCGACAGTCAACTTGGCACCGCTGAAGGGACTGTAGCACCACCCAAATTTCGACGGAATCAAAGGCTTTCTCATAGTCCACATACGTCAGGTAAAGTGGCAGATTGTACTCTTCGGTCTTCTGTACAATCTGCTGCAGGATATGTATGTGGTCTATGGTACTGAAGCCTTTTCGCAAACTGGCTTTTTCAGGAGGCTGGAAGTCGTCGAGTCTGCGTGAGAGACGGTAATGATTCTAGAAAACAGCACGTAGACGCGGCTCAGAAAGGATATCGGTCTGTAGTTCTTCAAGAGAGTGTCGTCACCTTTCTTGAAGAATAAGACCACCGCACTTCTGCTCTACGCCACGGGAGTAGTGCCTTCATGGAGGACGGAATTGAAGAGCTTCTAAAGGACTTTAAGTATCGGTGTTCCACCCACTTTCAGAAGCTCCGCTGTAATTCCATCCTCGCCTTTTTAACCTGCTGGAGGGCCATTCTAATCTCGCTCAAACTGACATCTGGGATATCATCGGAACAGTGTCGGATAAGACTTGCTCTTTAATCGTTACTCACACTTGCGTGTGGCTCCAACGATGATGTGTACAGTTGCCCATAGAACCTCTCAATCTCACTCGAAACCTCAGGTGTCCCGGAAACGGTGCCGCCACACTCAATCTCCAGCTTTAACAGTTGTCTCTTTCTGGTAAACAGATCTCTGGCAAAGACTTTGGAGCCCTGGTTCCGCTCGATCGCTTCTTCAATACGTGCAGTATTAAAGTAGCGCAAGTCTCGCCGCATGCATTTGGAGATCTGTCTGTTCAGTTGCCTGTATGTTGTCAAATCTGCTGACGATTGCAGCCTCATCTCCCGTCTTGTTAGACGTTAGCTAGTTATATATAAAAATAAATTATTCCAAACTTTAACAAATATTTAATTTACAAAAAATCTGTGATTTTGATGGGACTAAGTTATAAATGTATGTCATATAATGAATGTATAAATATAAAAACCTTTTAAAAATTACATACGATAACCAACGAACGAAAAAATAAAGGATAAATTAACATAATTCAGATAAGAGGCCCATCAATATTATTCAAAGTTATAAAATATCAGACTCGGCAAGTGTATTAAATTTAAACAATAAGTACTTAAAATAAAGAAATATACATTAAAATAATAACAATCTATAGAAATAAATAAAATTGAAGTATCTGGTAGTAATGCCAAAATAACTGCTTTTTACTAAATGAATATGAAAGTATATACAGTACTTAACAAAAAAAAAACAATCCACATAATTTTTGTCTGTCCGTTTGTTCCGGCTAGATGACGAGTGCCTGGCCCGATTTTGACGTGGTTTTCACTAGCAGATAGCCGATGTTATAAGCTTATAAGGTAGCTTAGGCTTCTTTTTTTAGAAAAAAATTCAGAGTTTCGCGCAAAAAATCAAAATCTACTAAATGCAATCGTGATAAATTCTACGCGGCTGAAGCGAAGTCACAGGGAACAACTAGTAACGAATGAATTGCAATATAGAAATATTTATAATACGTACAAATATTGATACTATCTAAAACACTTATTTTACTGTAAATTTTTTGACATGAGCATTATTAATAACCGTATAACTAATCAATTTTCAGATCGAAAAGTTTTGAAGTTAATCCGATGCAGAATTTAAACAACGAATTAAGTCACACTACATCCGAGAGAGCTGGCGAATACGAGCGACAATAACGATAAAGAAATCGAGGGGGAAAAAACAGAGGAGCCGAAATATGGCGGGGGAAAAATCTGCTCTAACAACAGCGATCACAATACTATCGTTTGCTACTACAGGTACGGGTTCTATTAATGCACTATCAATGTATTATGATACATTGACATTGATATTGTATGTCATCATCTAGATTATGTCGGCTTAAGAAACGTACCCATCAACCCATTTCCTCCTATGAGTATCGTAAGAGGCGATTATTGGAAATTCCAGAAAAACTTTATGACTTGGAAGACCTTTATGACGGTATAAATAGCGGTATAACCAAACGAAAAGTAGCCAGATTGGCAACGAGTAGCAGCGTCAAAGGTACGAGACATCTGGTACTGTGATGATAATTCCCCTGCCAAGCATAATGATTAAGGCGATACCTCTCCGCCAAGCAGAGATTCCAGCAGTGGACTTCTAAGGACACAAAAAGTAAAAAAAGTATAAGTAAGTAGTATCTTCATCATCATTACCACCCTTCACAATTCGACTTCTAGCATGAACATAGATTTTCCAAGGAATGCGACAAAAGACGGTTCTAAACCACCTGGATCCATTGACTTCCTACATATCTTACAAGGTCGCCACTCCATCAAGCGTAACAATACATCGCAACATCTAAATAAAATAAATAAAAGGAAGACTGTTCTTGGTTGGTTTCTTGATATTTTTGACTAACTTTTTAAATAAGGAAATGATTTTTATGTGAACCTACTGCTATTAGATTTTTGTTTAACCAAATTGGCAATAATGAAAGAGAAAGTGCATTGCTTTCAATCATTAATAAAACAACATAAGTACATAAATTATTTAAATTATTGTAAATGAAGTCTGCTTACTTGTGTGTATGGACACGCAAAGCCCTCTCGAACAGATTGACTAAACACTTGTGTGCAATGTTTTACCCTCATTTTTGGGATTAAATTTGGTAAGACGTGATGAGCAGTCAGCTTAGACACTTACTTGAGACCTTTGTAACCTGGGCACCTATTATATAAATCAAAAATACAGGTATTTTTTAAGACCGGCCCAGACGCAAGAGTTTTAAATCTTTATGACCTCCTTTATCTAAAACCATGATCAGTTGCCAGAATCTTGTCCGCTAGTTGGCATAATGCAAGGATTGTAAAAATGTTGTTCTAGGAGTCGTGCAAGAGACAAAAAAAATCTGTTTTTTAATTTAAACATTTAGATATACAGCATCAAATTAATTTATCTATTGCATCAAATAAACTAGCGTTTATTAGAGCTTCAGAACAAACATGTTCAAGCAAATCAGCGATATATAATCAAATTAAAATACGGACGTTCAGTAGATTTTGAAGTTTATAAACATATTCAAGATCGCCCCTGCACATTATATCACATTTTATACATCCCAATTTCAATCAAAAAGATGGCTCGGTGCTCTGCAAATCTTCAGAAAACTGAGAAAAGATGATGGAAACCTGGTTAACTTGCTGTTAGGTAAATAAGCCCAAGCTATATCAATTTGAAAATCGTGTGAATTGACACCTGGCCGGTTTTGAATTCTAAAATAAGCGAATATTTTTGCGAAAACAAGAACGTTTTTAGATCCATACCGACGCGACGTATCGTGGTTGTTCTCGAGGCTCTGAGTATCTATACTGAATATAATACAGCGGAAGCTTTTTTTGTTCTTTTGTTTGTTTAAACACGCTAATCTCTGTAACTAGAAGTCCGATTTGAAAAAAATTATTATGTATATTATAGCCACATTCATGAGGAATAGTTAGTTAGTTAGTAGTCTATCTAGCTTGGTAAAAATATTACAAAAACAAATTCTACAATTATCCCACTCCTGATTTACTGCGTCGTCTCATTTTCTCGAAGATTAGTTTCCGAAGGGAAGATGGACGCGAACGTTTTTTAGATGGAGTAGATAGTAGGAGGTATATATACTTTTGTAAAACATTATATTCACTACCATAACCATTTTGCGCCAGCACACGCGGATTAAGCAGTTCGGGAGAGCCTTTTCTTTCAACTCGCTTAACAGAAATCAATATCTAAGATTAGCTGAGAGGTTTAGCCTTAGCTCTTCTGCTTCATTATAAAAGATTCTATCTCTATCTTTCGTAGGCTAAATGATATAGATTTATATATTCGTCGCTTTTTCGTTTACTTGGATTTTAAATTTCAACTTGCCCTAAAACCGCCTCAGAATGAGAGGACGCATGTGCCCTGCAGTGGGACGTATATAGGCTGTTACTTTAACTATAAAAGAGGTGTCATATCGCGCGGCTCACACGCGTGATTTATGCAGCCGTAACCGCGGTGCGCAGTTAGCGTATTTAATAATAATTATTCATCCTTCAGGAACGTTAAACGAGATACTTAGTCTACCAGTGCAAATATTTACGAGTACAGTAAGTAACATCGTATAGTTCATGATTACATAAATTCCGAAATTAAAAGCGAATGTTTGATAGTTTTAGAAAATTTCCGCTAACTAAGCATGACTAGCATTATTATTGATCAATTTTAGCGTAAAGCACGTAATAATACACGTAATCAACATGCGCAGTTACTTCGCAAATTGTTTATGCACGACGAACCTTTGAAAAACAACATTATTTGTATGTTGGATAATTAATCCAGTTGACGAATTTCCTCAATGCTAATATAGCGTTATCTTTATTTTTATAGAATAAGGGTCACTATTTCGAATGCTGTCGTAATAGATTAAACTCTAATACAAACATGAAGAAACAAATAATTTTTTATAGGATAGGGTGACAAACTAGCACACAGTCCACCTGATGGTAAGTGGTCTATCGTCTATCCTATATATACGTCTATCCTCGATTACAAATTAAAATGCAGATGCGTTGTCACCCGTGAGGACTAAGATGGAATGCCTCGTTTCCAGTAAAAAGGGTCTCCGGTTCTCTACACTCACCATACGAAACATAGCAGCATTAAGCTACTATTTTACTCTGGTATTCTGTGAGAGCGTGGTCCTTCCCCGGTCGAGCCGACCCATTCGTGCTACAACTATACTACTAATATAACTGCAGCATGGCTCTACCACGTATATATTATCAACCATAACCAGCCGGGGGTGGAGGTGTAAGTGTAAGGTTCCATTACGCCATTTCGTCTCGTGGGTGTGGTAAGAGGTGTTTATAGGAAATAGCATAAATTTAATATGATTCCCATAGATGGCGGTAATAATCATCTCATGTAGGTCATACGTTAAATACTCAGACCATCGACGTGTAGCAGCAGCGTCAAATATGCGAGGCACTGTGATCGTCAATCTACTCTCTTCAAGAAGGGGATATCTATGTGGAATGATAAATAATTGCAAACTAAAAACCAGATCAATTTACATTATGTTCGACAGTATAGGAAAATGCGAGGAAACTTTTCACTTGCTACTATACCTATCGTTAACTTCTCAGTAATATAACTACCAGCATGTATGTTAACTAGCGCTGAATGGAAATTTTTAATCGAGTGTAACATTTAAATTTTCATTGTATGGTTGTTTACATTCAGTATAAAAAACCTGATAAGATAAACTATAAGCCATACAGTAAGCCGTCAAAAGACCGTTACTTTACGGTACAAAATAGATATCCTCTACTAACCAGTGTGTTGTAAGAACACGCAAAACAACTACTAGAGCAAAAATATTTAAGTGCTATATCATTAAATCAAAACTAAACCATAATTTTCAACACGCGAACTGTTAAAAGCACTAAGATTTTAAAAATCATAATAGTGTAATTGTTACCGAGTAGTTTCAATCCACCTAGTAATAAAAAAATAGTACCAATACATACCATTTACTTTATTAAGGTTATAATCTAGTGTACAATTTCCAGATTAAAATAACAATGATACACGATGACAAGAGCCGTGGTAGCTCAGATGGTTAACGCTCGCTATAAATATCACAGTACGCGAGCAAACCGGGTTCGATTCCCGCCGGCACCAATGAAATTGTTAATTGCAATTTTAAGTGCTGATTTACCACGTGCTCGGCGGTGAAGGAAAACATCGTGACCTGCATGTCTGAGAAATAATAAAAAAATATATTTCGAAGACATGTGAAGTTCGCCAACACGCATTGGGGCAGCGCGGCGGACACTTCGTTGTCCTAAATTCGTCACAGAAATGAGGGGAGCCCTGTGCCCAGCAGTGGGACGTATATAGGCTGTAACTTTACTTTACTTTACACGACGACTCTTACAACATGTGTTAAGCATTTCATATACGAATGGCGTTCAATCTATTCTCGGTATTAGGGTGATTTGCTAAGTATGTGAACATATTTAAAAAAAAAACATTAGCTAACGACACTACCTGAAGGTATAAATATGACATTTCGTCTTGAAAACTTCATTAATTCTTATGTAACCTTCAGTCATAGAAGACGACGGGAATGACTGGCTCGACAATGTTAAAAAAACACCGTGCGGTGATTGAATTCCTCACTAAACAAGGGAAAACTAAAAAGAAACGTCCATAAAGAAATAGTGGCCGTTTACCAACACTCTGCTTCTTCAATGTGAACCATACATAAGTGGTCAAGTGAATTCAAAAGAGGCAGGGAAACCTCCGCCCGGGTGGGTCAATTACAGCGGCTACAGAAAATGAGAAAATTATTGAAAAACTTGTATGAGAAACGTGGGTTCACCACTATAAACCTGAAAGTAAACAAGAATCTATGCAATGGCATAAAAAGGGATCGGACCCCCTCCCCCTCAAGAAGATCAAAGTTACTCCATTGGCCGGTAAAATCATGGCGACAGTGTTTTGGGATTCCAAAGGAATAATACTATTGATCGAGTGCACAAAATTTATACGTGGTAGAGCCATGCTGCAGCTATATTACTGGTATGGTTGTAGCACGAATAGTTCGACTAGGGAAGAACCACGCTCTCATAGAATACCAGTGTAAAATAGCAGCTTAACGCTGCTGTGTTTCGTATGACGAGTGTAGAGACCCGGAGACCCTTTTTACTGGAAACGAGGCAATCCATCTTAGTTCTCACGGGTGACAACGCATCGGCGTTTTGATTCGTAATCGAGGATAGATGTA